AAATTTGCTTACGCTGAAAAATATTTAGCAGAGATTCCGTACTTTTGTTTAAAATATCGAGTATAGAAATGTTCTGCAATTTCGTCGTATTCATGAATAAAACTTCAGCGACACTTTTGGCATAGAGTGGATGCGTTTTGCTTATTAAATCGATATCCTGTTCGCTGAGAGTCGACAAACTTTGTACCCGATTAAGCAGTGACTCTAAAATAGAATCCGAGAGCTGATCCCTTCTCACTTCAACAACTTCATACTCGATCTTGTATTGAATCTTATCTCGGTCTTCCAAAATTTTCTCGACTACATCCTTCACATCCGTTCCGGCATCGACCAGAACTTTTACGATTTTTTTTCCTTCCATGGGGTCGGTGCACCGCGAGAATTTCATGTACGATTGAAGAAGTAAAGTTCTGCCATTCGAATCCTTCACGTCGGGGTCTGTGCCATACTCCAATAACAAACGAGCACATTCGGCAGTCCTCACGTAATGCAGTGGTGCCATGCCCTGGGCATCGACCGTTTTTGTGTCAGGCTTTCTTCTTAGTAAAATCCTGAATTGAAAAAAATGTCGTTTAGTGCTTAAAATTTTGCGTTTTAGGATCGAAAATTGATTCGAAAGTTTTTTAAAAGGGACTTTTTGTGTTTCAACAAATTCGTTACGTATATTTTATTTACGTTTCTAATTTACTTCATGAGTGATCGTGATAACTAAATACAGTACATTAGTTAATTTCAAGTTATACAGGTTGATTATACGGATTCAATTTTTTGCAAGAAATGGAAAAATATAAAACATTTTGCAGAAAGTTCTGGATGATTATTGAGAATAATTCTCGCCGAAAAAATATGTGATCGTGAAACAATTTTTTTTTAACAAAAATTTTTTTTTATATTTTAGTGATTCTACGATTATTTACAAAAAGTTCGTTAATCAAAAATTAAACGATTGAGGATTTTAATTTGCTTTTGTGATTTTAATTTGCATCTTCAGGTTTTTAATAAAGTGTCTGCCGTTATTGGCCCGAGTGATTTTGGTGCCTGCACTTACAGATTTAACCGTCGTAAATTTCAGATGATTTTTCATTCATTTTTTGTGTGAATTAAATATACAGAATTAAAAAGTAGCAACAGGATTTTGTAGCCACATGTTTTTTTGTTAAAAAAAATTACGATATAATTAACAATTTATAAAAGTGTAATCTTAAGCCTTGTTTTAGTTGTAGTTAACATTTTATTTCTGAATTCAAGCACTATTCTTTTATGCTTAAATTTTTTTTCATCACAAAGTTCAAATTGATATCACTTATTTCTGAGCTTTATGAATATCAAAATCGTACTTTTTATTTTTTTCAAAATTACAAACTTTAAAAAAAATTTTGTTAAGAAATGTTAAAACTTTTATTCATCTAACAAAATCTTAAANCAAAAACTAATTTATGAAAATGTACAGTAATATTTTTTTGCCAACTATTAAATGTTTTGACAAACATTTTTTTATTTTATCGAAAATCATATACCATTTTAATACTTGGTGAAAATTAAATTCTTTAGTCAAGTTAGGAGAAAAACATGTTTAAAAAATTTTTGTACATTATTATTTTCCTAACAGACAATTAATCATTTCAAATATTTATTGAAACATTTGAGGTTAATTTATTAAATGTATTAAGTGAAAAATTGTTGATAACGTGACAAGAGTCTTTTTATTCGTTGTAGGATTGGTTAAGGTAAATCACCTATAGTTATCATGACAAAGTTAAAATAAGCAATCAAATGCATTAAATTTCAGCAATACGATATGTTCATACTTTCAAATAAAGCAACTAAATTGTTATTAATTTAAACTAATATTAAATTGAATAGTACGTAATATATTATTCAATTTTGTCATTGTATAATGTTCCTTCTAGTACACAGTACAGAGCTAAATAGTGCCTAAAAAAATGTTATTATAAACGATGAGACAAAACAAACCTGAGGGCGTTCAAGTTGTTCCGTACAATCAGGACACGCAAAAAAGGTATTCCACGCGGATCCACACCATTCACGTTCACGACGTAGAAATACAAGTTTCGAGCAGCCTCGCTTGTCAAAACCAACTCCATTGCACTGTCCTCCCAGTCAAAATGAATTCCTGATATTTTCACCTGTACGAGCACGTTACTGTGCCACGGTTCAAGTTTTTGATTAGCTATTGCCATTGATAAATCTTCGCCAATTCGGCCGATGTGTTCAGAAAAATGTTTACAATCACTTAGCGATGAGTTGAGCCGCGCACAAGTATCAACCAATGCAGTCAACAAAATACGTTTGTTTTCCTCTTGCGCCGTCGACAACATTTTATCGATTCGACCTGCTTGCAAACAGTATGTTTTATGGCAGAAGAGATGATAGTAGAATGAATGTTTGTTTCTACTGAACACGTGTTAAGAACTTTTTTTCCGTTGCTATTTTCAGTAAATGATACCTCAAACGCTGAATTTGAATCGAATGAGACGAATAATGTTCCGATTTCGCGTCAAAGATTTGATCTTACCAGTTTGAACCTTCGTACCTGGTTAACTGAAGCTCCTGTTGACTTTTGAATTCACTGACGGAAAATTGTTTCTTTATATACCTTAAAACTACGTCGTGTTTAAATTACCATAGCCAAGGAATGGATGTGCATCCCTGGAACTTTGCAATGTCTCACGAATCGGTAAATCCCTTTCGTTCCTGTACTTTAGATAAGCACTTTCTATTTGGCTACCAATAGCGATAAAATGGATGTGCATCCCTGGAACTTTGAAATGTCTCACGAATCGGTAAATCCCTTTCGTTCCTGTACTTTAGATAAGCACTTTCTACTTGGTTACCGATTTCAATGGTAAAACCTTTCGGGAGAACTTTCTATCGCTCTGTTCGAGTGAACTTTTCTCTTTAATGACATAGAATTTTCACTTGTTTTTTTTTTGAGTAACTGGATATTTTCTAAACTTATATTATTCACTCGAAGAAATTTTCCCTCGAATGTATTGCATTGCTTGTAATAGTTCATTGTTTATGTATGCAAGCCGAGTGCCATTAAAATTGTTTTAGAGTCAACAATAATGTAACACCCGACATCAAAAAAATAAGCATTCAAGTAGATTTCTTCTATTTTCAGCGTTTTTTTTTTTTTTTTTTTTTTTTTTTTTTTTTTTTTTTTTTTTTTTTTTTTTTTTTTTTTTTTTTTTTTCCTTTAGACAAATAGTCCACGTGAGGAGCTTGCGACGTGCACCACTAGGTACGAAATCGAATGTATTTATTGGCCATTATGAATTAATGTTGATTGAATTTTCACTGTTAGCAGTGAATTTTGTATAATGTAAAGAAGAAAAAAAAAAATGACAATGAAAAATTCAAATGGGTATTATACTGCGGTCACTTTAATGCGATTGAGCAAGTATTGTTTGCTTTTGAACGCAGCTAATCAATGTACGCGTTATCAGTCCTTTTTTCCCGAAATGATACCGAAAAAACAAAAAAAAACATTTATCCAAATCAAACGATATAATGTTCAATAGATTCAAACAGTCCCGTCGAAAATCGACTGTTTCCACGCATGTATAGTGATTTAACGAGTTCATATGGACACTGGGGGGGCAAGTGCTGATTCACCAATAAACCGTTGCCCAACAAAATAGATGTACACAGCGCAATGGAGAAAGTATAACGTGAAAAATGGTCGTATAGCGCGTACAATGTTAAAGACCATTTGTGCCGTGCAATGGAAACGACAATACAAATATTGCGTTGAAAATTCGCGTAATAAACTGAAATGTTGTCAACACTAGTGACAATCTATATACATTATAATTAATTCACCAAAGCATTACTTTGGCACACGTACGAGTTGTTGTTCGTTGGATGTTCTCGGTAACACCTACACACGCAGCTAAGTCGTGCTAAATGCGATACTTGTACGCGTATTATAGTGTTGCCTCTGCCGCCGTATGGCCCATTCCCTCCATACAATATATTTGCGTTATTGGTGCAAGCGGAGGTGGTAAGCTTATTGGCGGTGGTTTTGTGGCTATATGATTTATGGAACTCCAAGTGGCCCAAAGCTGCCGCCGCTTGACTCATCCAGAGGTGCAAAGGCGACGAGCCAGCTTTCTTTCAAACCGAGAGAGTTGGCCGAGTGACTCGTGCTTGGGGTTCACAAAGGTGCGAGCTCTCCTGTTGCCGCGTCGACCCTCGGAGTGAGATAAACTGCCGATTTATGTGTTTCGAACTTTGTGCACGATCACGGTGCCGGTCCAAGTGGTGTTTAGCAACAACAGCGTTGGTCAAGGTGTGACGTTAAATATATTATTGTTATGGTGGACATTTGGCAGATTTTGTTACCTCAAGAGTACCTATACAGCGCCGTCGTAGACCGCGACCCGTTGACAACCATAACGATCCTCGTCTCGCTGTTCGAGAGGGCAATTGAAGCTCGTAAGTTGCAGTGACTCACTCTTTTTTATTTATTTTTTGTTTATTTCAATGTAAATTAGATTTATGTTTATTCATCCAGTTCCGAGCGCGAAAAATCCATGCACGCTGAGGTTTTGGGAGTACTCCGAGGGCTCAGAGCTCGATAAATATGAACAAATTCGAGCGCCACAAGTATCGATAATTAAGATGAGTCATGGACATGACAAGTGATTTCAAACGTTGTTTTTTTTATACATAGGGTCGTCATTGAGAGTCACTTCGGTAAATACAAGTCCTCGTGCTTCCGGCAACTTGGAACAAAGAGGTGAGTTTTATCATACAGTACCACGTGTCAAGAAGCACACACGCGCACACACACACTTGGTTGTACGTGGCAGCAAACCGTTTGACGTCAAATCAAATTTTGATTTTCAGCTGTTGGTAGAAACCGCACTCATCGAAAGCAGTAAAATCTATTGTAATAGTAAGAATAACCACACCGAATGAAGCTGTAGAGTAGTAGACGCGCACTGGAGTCATCGGAACAAATGAAACCAGCGATGGAGATAAACAAGTACAGCGATAAGGGCCATTTTATGCCCGACTATTATGACCAATTCGATTCTTACGGGAGCCAGTGCATGTACGAGTGCATTAAAATCTTCAAATGCCACGACTGTGGCAAGTCCTTCGCTCAAAAGGACGATCTCGCGGAGCACATTCAGGAGCACGAGGTTGACAGAAAATACAAGTGTGAAATCTGCGAGGAATGCTTTTTCGACGAGGGTACGTTTCGAGAGCACAATCACACCCACGAGAAACCCCGCGAAGAAGCAACGGCCACGATAAAAGTGAAGGAGGAGGGCGGCGGTGGACAGCGCCACAGGTGCGAATGTTGCAACAGGACGTTCACCTGCAAGAGCCAATTGGACAATCACGCGGGTATAACTAGGTGCGAGTACATCCACAAATGCCACGCGTGCCAAATATCGTTTGCCGAAAAAAACGATCTCATTGAGCACATTAGGAGCCACGAGGGGGAAAAACGATTTAAATGCGAGTACTGCGGCAAATCTTTTTCCGAGAGGCGCACTTTGAGAATACATGTGCTCATCCACACGGGCGAAAAACCGCATGACTGTAAATTTTGCGACAAATCATTCCGTCGGGTGTCCCAACTTAACGTGCACACTCGCCTCCACACGGGCGAGCGACCGTTCATGTGCCACGATTGTGGTAAGACGTTCATCGTGTCGAGCAACTTGAAGGCCCACACTCGCATCCATACGGGCGAGAGACCATACAAATGTGATATTTGCGGAAAATCATTTCCTTTCATGGGTAGTTTGAAAAGCCACTATCAAGTCCATCAACATTTTTATGAGTTTATTGCTAAGAAAAATGATCTTGCGGGGATTCACTAACCTCACTGCTTCGGGCAAGTGAGTGACTTAACGCCGAACAATTTTTTTATCTTTTAGGATCGTTTCTCGACATTGGTGGATTGAAACTCCAAGTAAACTATTATAACGTTGTCACTTTTTGGCCATGCATTGAAGTTTATCAATTTGAATCGAAGTTTTTCAAACCAATGGACTTCAAATAGCGAATAATACTAATTTAAAATAATTAACTTTGTTGGTTATATTTTTTTTCGCTTTTGTTTATTTTTCCAACTAAAGTAATACGAGCTAGAATAATTAATTTAGTTGGATATATGCTATTTAATATATATCTACATGATTTATTTAAAAAAAAACTTTATAGTTAAAGAATAATTTTCAAATACGCAAAACTCGTAGCAATAGCTGTTTTCAGCTAACTTTTACTAAATAAAATATTGATAAGAATATAGCAGTATAAATCAGAATAAAAAAATCGCGCGAAACCCCTTTCCTTACATGGTAGAAAAAGAAACGAAAAAAAAAATTTAATTACTACTTACTAATGAACTAGATAAACTTAAATTTTAACTTAAACTTAAACTTTACTTACTAATGAACTAGATAAACTTAAATTAGTAAAAATTCATTTTCAAGCCAATTAATTAAAATGAATAGTAAAGATAAATACTTCGGTTTATTCAGTAAAGGTAGAAAAAATTACCATCCATGTTGATTGAAAAAAATTTGAAAGTCGATTGATTTGGTCCGATTTTCAATGTTGATTAAAACTAATAAACTTTAGTGTCAAATTTTACGATTTAAATCAATTAAAAATGAAATCATCTATAAATACATTTGAAATCAATTTATTTTAATCGAACACATGAGTTTTTGCATTCCTGTTAATAAAAAACTTTGAAATTTAAAAGATGCGACTTATCTGTCTCTCTAGAAAATAGTTTATAAATGTATCCATTAACAAAACATTCACCAACATTTACAATATACTAACATTTCATTAAAAAATACTAACTGGAAAGATACATGTATACATAAAGATATGAATATGTGTATGTAACAATAAGTATTTTTATCTGTTTGAGTAAATCTAGTGGGTAATTTATTGCACTGAAGCACAAATTATTATTTTTATAGGAAATAGATCTGATATTCGTGATTCCCATTTTAAAAATAACAGTGGCAAATTTATCATCTTTGCCAAAGAAATACTATAGCAGCCATAGCTGTAAATCATTTTTTTTTTAATTTAGACTAGTACTAATGTTATTTAAAAAAATTATTGTAACTTGAAAAAATATTTTAATAGAAAAAATTTTAGTTTAACTTAATTTACGTTGTTTTTATTTATAAGTAAGCCTTTTTTTAGTGAGTATAATATTTTTCATTGTTGTTGTAACTATCTATCTAATAGTAAACCATTGTTTTTAAAAATTAAAGCACAAGTACTAAGATTTATGTAAAAATGTCAATAAATGTATTTTGCAAATTATTTTGAGAGTACTGTTTCTGTATACCCTTCACATGGTAGTAAATAATGTCTGTAATTCTTAGAGTGGCCTTTGGATTTCAAACTATAAACACCAGAAGTCGAAACTTGGTTGTTTTTGAGGTATGCGTATGATGGAAAATTGGTGGAAAATCACCCACCTATGATTTTTTTGTTGGATATTTTAATTTTAATGCAATATTTACATGATAAAATAAAAGTATATAATTTTCATCAGCTTAGTTACCAATTTTTTTTTTGTTCACGATGGAGATGACCGAGTCGTCTAAGGGGAACTTTGCAAAAGGGGCCCGTACGAAATATCCACATACTTGGAAAAAAGGATGGTAATTAAGGAAAAGAGAAAAAAAAATATTGTAGAGATTAGGGAAAGAGGATACGTAAAAATCCTGCAAGTGAAGTTTTACGTAGAATCCACACGCTATCCGATAATAAAGCATCCTGCGGCAGTAACTGGGGCTCTACCCCATGTAGCAAATATATAGCAAAATGTAAGATTTTTTTTCATAGTTTTTAGAATATGATAGCCAGGCGCATGCGCACTAACTACAGTGCATGCGCTTCCTAAAAACTATCGGAAAAAAATGTATATTTTGTAATGTATCGTTTATCTGGGTAGAGCTCCTAGTTCAAAACCAATCCTACGCGAATCACTTTGAATTAGAGTATAATTGTTTAGTTTTCGCTGGTAGGTTTTTTTTTCTTTTCTAAAAAAGAAAAGTTAGGAGAAAGTCGTCTTTTAAAAAAGACATTTTTTCAAAAACTAATTTATGAAAATGTACAGTAATATTTTTTTGCCAACTATTAAATGTTTTGACAAACATTTTTTTATTTTATCGAAAATCATGTACGGCAGGCAAAGTACATTAAAAAAAAAAAATTTAGTGGCTTCATCCGAGTATAATACGGGACCATATGTGGCTCTCAAGCTATAATGGGGTAACACACAAAACTAAAAAATAACAAATAAAAAATAAATATCGAAGTTATGAATAGAAGGGTTTCTGTCACATGTTTCATCAAAGTCATTCGATAAGACCGAAATTTGAAAATAATCTTATCTCTTACGAAAGATGGGGAACAGCAGTTGTCTAACAGTGAAACTATTTAAGCTATTTAGTTTTAACTCGTTACAGAGGAAAAGAGAAGAAAACAAATAGAAATTTATAACTCCTATTGATAGGAATCACTGTAAATAACAATTATCAGACATGCGAGTGAACTCTGCAGAGTCACAGTACGATTACGAAAGCAGGACGCGCTGGTGTGGATGATAGTATAGAAGACGACGACGAGATGCAATCACGAAAGATCGGTAGGCATACTTGTGATGTGCAGTATATGTATAGCGTAAGGGCTATTTCAAAGAGAAAGTCTGTGGCTATAAAGATGCACGATAAAGTCGCCGCGGCCACGAGCATCAGTGGTTCAATGGTAGAATGCTCGCCTGCCACGCGGGCGATCCGGGTTCGATTCCCGGCTGATGCATTTTGCACTTTTTGCAATTTTTTTGCACTTTTTTGCCATTTTTTTGCACTTTTTTTGCCATTTTTTCGATCCTGTGCGTACATTTTATAATGTTCCCGTCACACAAGAAGCATACCTGTATTATAATTCTCTCAGATTCGATGATACCGATGAATCCTTCATAATGATTGTCCCGCAACTGGAGCTTTTTTATTCGTTATGTGATTGGTTGAGGCATGTCACGTGTCTTCTTTATCAACAACTGAGATAAAATAAGTTACCAACGTGAAAATAATTTAGACCAATTTACTATTTTTTGTCTTAAAACAAACAGTTAATGAGTTTATTAGTAAATTTTAATTTTCTTTAAGCAAGCTTTTATTTATTAAACTAAGTAGTAGTAACGAACTCAAGTAACCATTATGATACTACTAGTAAAAGCTTAGACTGTTTAGGCTTTTATCTTTTATGATGTATTTATGCTCTAATATCTGAACAATAAAACTTACGCATCTCAAGCTTTTAGTTGTAGTCTCATACGAGTGCCTCAAAAAACATAGTATATTAAGCCAATAGTTTGGAAAGTACTACATCCTTCACGGGTAGACTTTCCAACCTTCAAGTTCATTCTCGCTGCAGGGCCGAAAGTGCACTCAAGATCGTGAAGTCCAAGGTTAAACAAAGGTTCGCATTAAAGGTTGTGCGGTGTCCAGGGCAGCAGCCATGGTGGGGTATCAGGGGGCGAAGCCCCAGGTAGGGGGTAGGGGGGCGAAGCCCACCTCAATCAAAATACTAAATGATTTTACAACTTTTTTCTGAATCAAAAAAAATAAACTTAGGGTATCATAAAAATTACAACCAGAAAGCAACATTGTGCTAAGCTCTGTCCTTTTAAAAACCATACTCTGTAATTAATTTTATTGGTTGTTGAGCGTAATACTGAAAATATAAGCATGTATATATATATGGAGCGCGCGGTGGCTCGGTCGGCTAGGTCGTGGATTGGCACGCGGGAGACCGTAGTTCAATTCCCGGCCAGTGCGACATTGTCGGGCAAGTACCTCTGTGATTGTTCACATGTGCTTTTTTACCACGCAATGCTCCTCGAGAAGGGTTTAGGCCACCTTCTCGCAGCAAAAATTGCCTAATTTCCCCCTACCCCCTCCCAATAATGGGAGGCCTCCCATCCCTTTCCTTGTCCCTTTCCCAAGTGCTAAGTGCCCATAATAGTGCCCTTATTAAAAGGAGCCGGACGTAGAGCACTATAATATAAAAAAAAAAAAAAAAAAAATGTATATATGTATTCTTTGTTGCGCTGTATTTTTATACTTAAACTAATGTAACACAATGTTAACTTTCTCCAGTAGTATATTGGCACACGTAAAACTCCATTACAGCGGCACTTAACGAAATTAACTAACTAACCTCTAATAGCTATTAAGTATGAGTATATAAAGTTGTCCCTTTTTTATACGTGTTGTTTCGTATTTAACGAAAAAATACAAAGAGGCTGATATCCAACGGTATCGGTATCGAATCAGCCGATAGCGTTCGAAAAAAAAGAAGAAAGGGCAGCAGATTTTCAGCTGTTACTCGAATGTGCGAGCGTCATCTTGCCAACGTGAAAAAACAACTTTTTTCTCGCACCGTCTTCTTGACCGGTTTGCAATTTGCCGTAACCTTCAATTCACGCATTTTTTCTACTCACTCCTTGACCTACCATCAAGAAGCGCGCTGCACCAACGTCTCCTTTCTTCGGTTTTTGAGGTTGCCATCGATGTGGGCGCTTTCCTGCTGCTGTTCTTCCTGTCTTTGCTAGTTTTTTTCGCAGCCATACTTCTCCGTGAGCTAATTCTTCAAGGCAAAAAGGGTAATAAGACACGACGGACACAGCAAAAAGGGTGAGACCAGAATATTAAAAAAAATACGAGTTCACGAGTTCAAAGTTTATAGAACATCAGTTCTCACGAGTATTTGTTCTTGCACATTTCGTAAGGGCGACGGCCCGATTCGGAGCCTTTGGCTCAGCCGAACATCCAGGTTG